TTCAGGTATCATTCACTACCAAAGAGCTCAGAGAGCAGTTCAAAGTACCTGATTGGAACACAACGGTTGAAATGGATGAAGAAGAGGTGAAAAGCCTGAGGGAAGCTGCCTCCGCTATGCCGCGGCGTCGAAAACGGCTCATGAATGTAAGTGTGATGCCAAGTCGATTTCACAATCTGTGTTTTTGGAGACTCTTTTCGCTAGGTGCTCTTGGATGGAGTCAAACCACCAGAGGGCGAAAGGCAGTGCCGATTTCTTAACTACCGTGAAGTTAAGGAAGTGATACCAGACCAAACCGGTCGTGTGTCATCTGTAAGGTAAATTAGCTTTTTTTCTGTTTTGAGTTCGGTCTGAGATCTTCGCACTTTTTAGCCTGTATCCTGCGTTATACGGTCACTGTCAGCCTTTGGATCACTTAGCATTGCAATTTGTAACGTAAAAACATTTTTAGATTTTACAATAAACGTAAGGATGAAGACGAAATTATTCCTTGTGGACTCCTTATATATAGTATAGGCTATCAAACATATGTCATTGACGGATTACCCAAGACTGAAGAGGTACAATTTTTTTTCATACTACATGCACTGGTAATGTCCTTTCCAGGGTAGGCTAGCAATGAAAAATAATTATCGAGTGGATATGCCATGCGGATCATTCGTATATGCCGCTGGATGGTGCGCGCATGGTCCGCGGGGTGTTATTGTGGACACACAACAAGACTCACTAAATGTTGCGGAACAAATGGTGAAGGATTTTTCAACGAGGACAGACGTTACAGGTTTGCGACAAGAGCCTTCTTTGACTTTATTCTGGATGTGCAAAGAACATGTACATTTCCGATGCGATCGGATGATTTTTATAAGCTTAGCTTTCTTTTAGTAGCGGTCCCAGATTTTTTTCGTGTAATGGGGGCTACAGCAAATTTTCAATTAAAGGAGCGCGTGCAATGCCTGCCTTCAGAGTTTTTTTCTTAGAGCCTCTTAATATTGTGTGGACTCTAACACAGTTAAATTTCATAAAGTCTATTTTTTTTTTGAAATTTTCGCAACCCATGGTCTTTCACCTCTCCTTACTCCGCTTTTTTCTCCTTCAAGAATACATTAGCAGTACATTGCTTACATTGCTGATAAATCGTTACAAAACGCAAGATGCTTTTCCATCATTGAAAGATAATTAGCGGTTTCAAGTGCTTCTTTTTTGTGCTAGTAAACTTTTTTTGACACTCAGAATGTTTAGTACGTTCCTGTTTATGCAGGTCTTCGATTTAGGTTCTCTGCACGGAGCAAGAGCGTTGTTGGACTCGCGACATGTGAACTACCTAACCTGGGCTGAATGGAAGAAGATTGATGAATTGGAACTGAAACAAGGTCAAGAGAAGGGAAAGGTCCGAGAAAAGCTTACTAAATTCGATGCATTTTTGCATAAAACTTTCTAGTCCTCGATATAATAGCGTATAGTAAATTACGTCATCCAAGATAGGTTGTTTTTTGGATCTTATTGTTTACTGATGCTGTTCTTGCTCAATCTGTATGCTGGTCAGTCTCCACTGTAAGTGAATGCCGTTTAAGTAAATGGAGGTACAATGTTGTTAGTCAAACCTTCTTCGCCGACTACTGGTCTTGCACGATATGCTTATAATGTGATGTGAGATTGTAGTCCATGGAGCTGGACTTCGACAATATCCGCCCCTCCATTGCACTTGAGTTGCAAAATTTGTAATTTTTATCGCTGTGATATTTTCCCTAGATCTGGTATAATTTACACAGCATTCTCACGAATCTC